GGCGCGTGCCCAGGTGGCAGATAGGGAGTTAATCGTGGACCGAAAGCGACCTTTGCTTCCCTGAGACGCAGGTGGAACCAGGAGATGGGCTCCCTGTTTCTAGTGCGCTGATTTGGCACATACTTTCTGTATTTCCTAGGCGTATTCATGCATGCGTGTGTGGGTGGGGTTCTCGCCTTATGTGTATTGTATTTTACAAGTCAATTCGACCAAAGGCCTGCAATCAAGTGACAAAGAAGTATATGGGAGGCGCTTACGAGTCGCCTCCAATAAATAAGCTCAACGGACGCTCTGGGAGAGGCTGGCAAGCAACCCGTGAATATACCCAGCCACCACGTTCACAGTCCTGCAAGCTATACGTGGGTATCAAAATGCTAAACACAGTAAGAAAAAACGGGCTCCATTCCCCTGACCCGAAAAAGTCCCCAATTTTGCAGCGTTGGATAGCACGAGTACGGAGAGGCTGCTAAAATTCCAGGGCTAATGGAAACCGCCTGGATTTCAAAGAACTATGGTGGCGATCTGTACCTACAATCCACATACACTTGCATCCGATTTTTCGATAGAAGAATTACGTAAGCAAGCAAGAAGGATAAGGTACGACGTCATTGGCCTGGCCAAGACGATACAACGCCACCCGTTCAACGCCGTCTATGACATCGGAGAAGGACTATTTCTCGGAACATGCGACAGTAGAGGAATCGGCGGCGTCGGCGTTCTCGTCAACACGAGTTTGTCCATGACCATCGATTCATTCAAACAGCTTACAAGCCGAATCGCACGTTTACGCTCAAAAAGACGTGGATCAATCCCGGCTTTGACAATCTTCGTCGTTTACGCGCCGACATCAAGCTATGACGAAGAAGTCGAAGCGTTCTATATGGACTTGGAGAAGTTCTACAGAGAAGATCACATATTCTTCAAGGTCATCATTGGAGATTTCAGCGCCAAGATTGGACCAAGAAGAACGTCTGAAGAACGTCACATTGGGACCCACGGATTAGAACGAAACGAACAGGGTGAGCGGCTGTCTGAGTTTATCATGGAGACCAAGACAATCCACGGTAACTCGCAATTCCAGAAGCGCCACCCTCACGCTGGACGTGGGAGTCTTCCAATGGAAAGTACCATAACGAAATAGACCACATCAGAGTAAGTAGAAGGCTTTGTCTTAGTGATGCAGCTGTTGTTCCAAAATTCTATATGCGATCAGACCTCCGTCTCCTTCGTTCAAGACTCTACTTTTCGCGGGAAGGAGAAAAAGCCACTAAATTCAGAAACCAAAGTCCAAGAACCACCGTAAACGGAGACTTATTCAATTCATTAGTCGGATGTTGGAAAAATGCCGTTGTCGATAACATCGACGAAGAATACAACCAGTTTTTTCATCATTTTCAGGTAAGCGCTGTGAAGGCTGAGAGTTCGAAAGTCACCAAGAGACGTCTATCTCCAGAAACACTGGAGCTCCAGGGTGGAATCGCACGAACTGGGAGCAATGCCAGCTCACGGCCGAGCAACCAAAACCGATAAATAATTTTAAAAAGAGTAGAGCAGCAGCAATAGTCGAAGCTGCAAAGGCTGGGAAAAGCGTTCGCAAAGCTCACCGAAGCTTCGCCAGTTACGAGACCAAGATCATTGCACTCCGACGCCCAGACGGAACAGTTACAGCGTCTAGAAAGGCAATGAAGAAAATCGTTCACGAATACTACTCAGATCTTTTCGATAGCGACGTCCACTTTTCCCTACTTCGTTCTTATGAAATAAAGGACGATGGATATGTTGTACCATCGGTTCTCCCTTCCGGAATCCGACACCCCATTTCGTCGGTGAAAAATCGAACAGCGCCAGATCCGGTCCGCCTGTCGCTGTAAGCACACGGGCTCAGCTCTTCATAAGTTACCGGTCTGAATGCAAGGCCCTACTCAGTGGAAGACCAGCAAGAGCGCGTTATTGTTCAAGAAAGGTGACCCACGCGATATCGGCAGCTATCGCCCAATCTACTTGCTCTCTGCCGTCTACAAACTTTTCACTCGAGTCATCCTAAACAGGATCGACAGAACACTAGACGAAGGACAGCCGTGTGAGCAAGCAGGGCTTTGAAAAGTTTGGTACGATGGACCACATCTACGCGATAATAAGGCTCAGTGAAGTATCGCGAGAGTACAAACACCGCTCTGTCTCACTTTCGTCGATTTACAGAAGGCCTTTGACTCGATGGAGATAGAAGCAGTCATGGAAGCTCTTGATAGTCAAGGTGTTCCTACTCAGTACAAAAAGATTCTTCGTGAGCTGTACAAAAATTTCACAACCAAGGTATCACCATTCTACAACAATATTAACATTGACGTTAAAGAAGAAGTTAGGCAAGGCGATACCATCTCGCTAAAACTATTTACCGCCACCCTCCAGAACGTCATGCGAACATTGGCATGGGATAATATGGGAGTGAAAATGTATGGTAGGCAGTTACATCACCGCTTTGCTGTTGACATCGTCCTTATAACACTTAACATTAGCCAAGCGGAACGTATGCTTGAAGACTTTGATAAAGCCTGTGGAAAGACTGGTCTTCGACTAAATCTCACGAAAATGATGTTTATGAATAATGGATTGGTTTCGTATGCCCGTTCACGCTCAACGGAAAGAATATCTCCGAATGCTCCAGTTTTATCTATCTGGGTCGGGAAACCAATGTGACAAACGAGCTAGCTCCAGAGCTGAGCAGAAGGAAACGAGCGGCTTAGAAAACTTTCAAGAGCATCGATGATGTAGTGAAGAGAACAAAGAACACCCGACTCCGTGCCCATCTTTTCGACTCAAGGGTACTTCCTACCCTAGCGGATCGAACGCACCGCCGAAATGACGATGCTAGGAGTATTCCGTTTTACACAAGCAAAGGATTGGATCCGAAGCCTCGACCTGCGTCAACGATCAAAAATTAAGGATGCCGTTCTGTACGCCAAAAAGTCGAAGATAAGGTGGGCCGGACACGTAGTGCGCATGAATGAAAACCGACGGACAACAGCCGTTAGTGACTGGATTCCTCGGGATGTCAAACGTACTGCAGAAAGACCACCGATCCGATGGTTAGAGTTCTTCACAAAGAGCCTTGAAGAAAGATGTGATGCTCGACGAGTCCCTAAAGGGGGCTGAACCCGCTGGGCTACTCTTGCACGCGACAGTGAAAAATGGAAGGTTTATTGGCGCGCGCTTGGATCACTCGACGATAAACGGACTACATGGTAATGCAGGTGAATCACTGGTTATTTCAGGATTTGACATGACTTGTATTCATTTGATGATCCAACCTCGTTATTCTTTTCTCCTTCACACCAGAACTTCGTGATTTCAGTTTTCTTGAAAATAAGAACTTTAATTTTCTTATCCTTTTTTATTGAGATTGATGAGTGAGCACAGTTTATTGTGCTCCTTTTATGTTTTCAAATTTTTCAGTGTCGTAGGCACTAGAGAGGAAATATCCATTGCGTGGATAGGTCGGGCCGTCCACGTTATTAAGGAGACCATTACCAATGCAAAATCCGTCTCCTGAAGATTATAAATAATTCGTTAGAAGTCTTTATTTTAAAAATTTTCGTTAGAAAAATATACTTTTCATGCGTTTAGAACACTGATACATTACTGAAAAATTGAGAGTTAGAAGCGCAAGAGTTCGAAGTAAACTGCACTGTATGCGAAATGCATAGATGAGCACGTAGATATTCTACACAGTAGTCTTCAAGTAACGTGTGTAAATTTTTTCAATATTTCATAACCACTTCGTAGCGGAAATATGCCTCAAAGTGCCGAACTTCATTGTCAAAAGCAGCACAGACGCTTTTGTTCTCAGTCCTGCTGAACGTCAACAGTCGCTCGATGGAGCAACGATACTCTTTCACCCCCCAGTTGAACTCTTCAACAAGCATTCCTTCGTTCTTTGTCTTACAAATTACCACCTATTGCTATCTGTAGAAAAGGGTTTCCAAGACCGAGGCCAGCGTTGTCGTTTGTGCTCGATAAGCTCTCAAAAGATTGCAAAAAACGTGTATACGGCAAAATAAAAGACCGTAATGAAAGTGAGCGGATACTTATTCCAGCGAGTCATTAGCTCAATACACCTTTGAGTAGAAATTTACTCAGGCCTGCCCCTAAAGGTTAATAGGACTTACCTTTATTTCCCTAAGTATTATAAAATAGTCCTGCCAATGCTACAGAATCCTATTGCGGTGTGAATACAATAGTAATAATAATCAATAATAACAAAAATATTGATAATAATAGTAACAATAACAATGATGAATAAGTACACGTAGAGGAAGAGGAAAAACGAACACAACATGAGTGAAAACATTTCCCAATAATGCAGCACTGTCTTACTATTTAATTGATTGATTGATTGAATGATTAACTACACAACAATTGCTTGGAGATTCGTAGTGACTAGCAAGAAAATCCCAACAGAAAAAGCCTTATACATCTGGTTACCGCCACTGTTCTCCTTAAATGTGCGCGATTTAAAGCACCGATGCAGTTCATGACAATATTCTGAACCAGGTTTCGAGTAAGGCACAGGTCCTCCAATTTTCCTATTCAGTCCGTCTGGTAAACTTTCTATACAAGATTCTTATACAGCGCTCTATCTGATGATGTATGTTCCCGGGGTTACTTTAATACGCCATGAGTCACCCTCCTTATGAGACTGTACTGCTTGATCTATGTTTTGGTTCTGCTTGAGAAAATGTCTCCCATTTCCCTCTAGGAAAGCTCAACAGTTACAGAACAAATGTAAGCGGCACATGAGTCACCATTCGATCAGTCCAATTAACGTCCTCGTTGTCACCATATCATGTCTATCTTGTTATTCTACTTATTGTAAATTCAAGTTGTTGGGCAGCCTTTCCACACAATCACTATACTTTATTGTAGAAAATAGTACCCAATCACGATAACGTTGACAGAAGAAAGAGTATAACTCCACTTTGTGCTGCATACGCTGCCGCTTCCTACACCCAGTCTCTGATCCTTCCTCCTATTTCTGGGCTGTACGAGAACTCGTGTTCTATGAAGAGGCCGTTGCGAGGACCGATTTGATACGTGTGGGCACCTTTCATCCATGAAATGCACGGGACTAGAACAGAATGTTCAAAATGCCAGTCGTGCCTGAAATCATACAGAAAAGATTCGTTGACGACAAAATAGAAGACGATATTTTAAAATTATGATCCACTTTCCATACATCTTCGAGAGTAGATAACAGGTTATAGGAATTTAATGAAAGCTTCATGATGGCAGTGGTTATCGCTGTTTGCCTTGGAACTTTACTATCAGTTATCGATTTAATCTTTAAGAAATCCCCTTGAATATCGCCAATGTTTGGATCATATTCGATAGTCAGTAATGTTAGCTTGACTCGTAAAAATCCGATAGTGCAGGAATTCATATTAAATGTCTCTACTATATAAGTACGATGAATTAAAGGAGAAAAAGGATAAAGCTTCCGGCATTGATCAATTCCTGAGGGATGAGCCATGCATTCGACTTCCGTTTGGAGGTGATTGAATGAATATCTGGCCTTAAAGGGCAGCGCTCCTATGACCCTGGAGAGATGGAAGGCTTGGTTTGGCCATGGGTGCGAGATCGATTCGGCGTGGGTGTTCCACGGCTCCTCCCACCACTGCGCCACACGCGCCCCTACGGTAAATTATAAGATAAGGCTATGGCGAAATAACTATTAGAAAAACTCTAAGTGTAGAAGTATCCTGCTCTGAAAAGAACGATAAAACTCCGTTCATCGTTTATATTATTTATTGCTAATAACCGAAAATAATTTGAAATGGCATTCCTTCCCTTTCTGTGGATCCAGTGGATCCACAGCGTACAAGGTTTATGCTTTACATCTACCTTCGATAGAAGTCACGTCTAGGTGTCTTCAGTTCACCATTAACCATTTTGAAAGCGTTTGTCAATAATGATTCGGTATTTGATTACGGGATCACCAGATCACTTATGGGTTTTTCCTTTTTTAACCATATGAGAATTTTGGCAGGTTTAATATTATCGAATAGTTTTCTGCTTATTGGTTGAGATAGCCACAAGTTTTCTCACCGGTCCTCCATTGAGTTTTCGAGGATGAACGACACGTCGACATCGATCTGATCTATAGCCCATGGATCGTTTGGTTCGTTATCGAAGTTAATCAGCACAACATCGGCTCTAGGCACGCAATCAACTCTGCCCTAAATATCCATTAAGAAGAAAATGGGCGCTCAACCTCAGTTGTGAATGTCTGGGTCCGATTATTTTTACCACGATGTCTTGCAACCAAATGTGTCTAAAGTCAAGTGCTTTGATTACTCACTTGTCGAATTTCTTACGTTACGAACTCAAAATGCGAACATATGAACGAAATTCGACTTACAGAAAGGATAAAGGATAGGTCTCTCGGCGATGATCAATCTCTAAAGGATTGTCGCACGTTCGGCTCCATTCGTAGAAGCACAGAAGACTATTTATGAATATTTAGCCTATGCAATTACTTGTGCAAGTCTGTCGATGTATCTGGTTAGTGTTTTCATTCTTCTCAGTACCAGTGTGCTAATTTTTGTTCAGCCAAGTCCGTGTAGTGTGACAGAAGCGCTCAGTGAGTTTTGGTTTCTCGAGTAGTACAAAGAGAATTATGTTTTCAATCTGGTTTACTCGATTAATATTAGAATCAAAGAACTGTAATTTCAGGAATTCTGTAGAAATGGACCTCATTCACCTTATAACGATATCGAGGTATCGCTAGAATATAGGACACCGTTCTGTTTAATGTCCATCAGCTTAGAAAATTCAGCACTTCGACACATCACAAGATGACATGAGAACCGTTGTCTAATTAGATGTCCTTGCTAGGCACACAAAAATCCGTTATAATGTTTACAACTTTACAATGGAATTATTTTCGAAGCAATACAAGTGTCCGAGAAAACGACACCATCTCGCAAAAACCATCTCAGGAGCACCATGCGGTAATAGGGCAACATATAGGAAAGCCAATGGGCCAGCCAGAAGCTCCACGATTTCCTCCTCTTTGCTAATACGATCGGTGTTATCTAGGCGGTAAAAAAGCTGACCAATTTTGAGAGCAAGATTGTTATCGGTTGTACACAAAGAAAATGATTTTCGTGGAAAATAGATGCGCCACTCGATCTGATGAACGTTGCTTTCTTGAAATAGTCCCTGTTGACTTTTAAAATTTTCTCTTAGATTGGGAATCCGACCATTTATAGTTTTAAGTCGTACCTTATCAAAGCACTGATCAAGTGTTTGATCCCCTATGATTTCGCTCGGTAAAAAACCCTGAAAATAGTTGCTTCGAGAATTTTCCTTTATTTGCACATGTTGCGCTGTATGTAGTTGCGGTTCCAATCGATTGTTAACAAACATTCTGGAAATTATTCAGGCACTTACCTCAAATATACGAGTGTCTGTTACATAGTCATAACGGAAACTGTTGCTACTAACTTCCACGGCGGAAAGAAACTTGTCGTGAAAATCGAGAGCCACTAAGTGGAAGTTAAAACTCGATTCTGTAGGAGCAGCTGAAAGTATGTGATTGCAGTTGCTTGTTGGTTCTCCGACTTACCGTTTAAGAGGGTGCCTGTGACGCAGTGGTCGGAAGTGCCCTGCAACACATACATGGAATAGATCCCCCGAGCCCATGGCCCACCAAGCCTTCCATCCATTCTGGCTCGGCAAATTGGGGTAACAAACTTGACTGGGGAGGATAGCAGCACTGGCTCGGTACATCGGTATGCCACCGCGAGTCATCGTAAAGGCCAGATGTGCATTCAATCACCTCCAACGATGCTTAATGAAGTCGAATGCATGGCGAATCCCTCAAGGATTGATCAACGCCGAGAGCTTCATCGTTTATTTTTACACCGTTTAAGAACATATTGAAGAGGCCTTCAAAGTTCACTATGATCAAATTTAGTCATATTTGATAATTTTCCTGCTAGTATTGTGTGATGAAGTTGTGTGAAGAGATAGATTGGAAGCTTCTTACCCAGGCTTCGCAGTGATGACATTAATCACCGGGCGGTAACAGCTTATCGTGCCGCAGTAACTGTTTCCATCTCAGAAGAGAATTACATTTCGCGCTTTATCGTTGGGATGAATTTTTTGGCTTTGTTGTTATTTAATATGGAAGCAGTTGTTTGTGAAATTAGTGGAACTGTAGGGAAACGGATAAAAGAAAGGATCCTCATAGGACAGAGTTTTTCCTAATAAATCTCAACATATTTGTTATGATATACTATAGTCGTGACTCTGCTAAAAACGATTGCAAGTAAAATTTACGTAAACAGTAGCGAAATCTCAGAGCAGTACCAGCATTGAAGCTGGACTTCACCACTAGTCTTCGGATATTTTCTCATCAACTCTGAACTTTTTTAAGCAACCCTTTATCGTTCGTTTAGGTGTTGCTGTGGAATCTACCTAAGCTCTCTTTGTTCATTCAGTGGAGCTTTTTTAGTTGTTGCATGGGACAATACGAATTTGTAGAGCACAATAATTTGAAAACAGATGGTCTTTCGTGATAGCAAGAAACGTGCCGAACAAGGAAAGAAAGTTTCTCGGAAAAACTCCGTGAACTGTCAAAGACGCGTTTTAAAGTAAGCTTACGTAAAAAGTGGGTTGAAATTGTACAACTTTTTAGAAGTCTTCTACTGCCTTCGAAAGTCTACGAAATATGTCAAAAAATTGCGAATGACGAAAAATACAAATTTTGCCTGTGGTGTATTTATCTATATGGTTGAGCTGACATTGAACTTAGGTTGATATAAACCTTTTTCAGCAAGCGCTTCAGTGTCTTCACATTCCACAGGGTCGCGCTGATCCGAATCGACGGTTCACGCATGGTCGTTGTAACTGTGCTTGTTCGTTCTCCTATCGTTTATTAAGTATTTCTAGTATCAATCTCGTATCAGTTTCGTGATGGAGAATAATATTGGTTATTTATGTTGCCGTTTAATGAAAACTGGTTTTTAAGATGTAATCAGTGATGGTAAATTTTTCTCCGAGCACCATCGTTCTTCCATGTGTCCCACCTCCGATTAGTTCGCTCCAATTGCAGTCCCTCAAAGACTGTTCAATAGGTTACGCTGCAATTTTGCTGTGTTTGCAGAACTTCCGTCAAATTTCAGTACAGTAAACCTCATTCTGAGTACCGAAGGTCACTGAGGGTATTGCAGGGAAAGCCGCTCTTAACCAATGAGCAGCAAAACTGAAACAATAGACCATCTAACTATCCTAAGGAATTCGTCATGCCTACGGAAAAATTTCATCTAGAACCATTTGAAAACCAGTGTTTAGTCAAATTCATCATTGATAAAATCTACTGTTGTTTTTCACATCTAGAATTTTTCAAACATTGTGCCCTGACAAAAATATTACTGATTTTGTTTCCGCCGCTTTTCAGCATTCGCGTCAGTGGAAACGGTCATTAGTTCTGGACGGTGTGACTCATTCGAGTCTCATTGCTGGGTATTCAGCCTTTAAATTTTAAACTAACTTCTATTTTTCAACCCAGAGAAAATTATGTTGCTTAAAAAGTAAGCTGTTGCTATCTACATAGCTTTTTTTTATTCTGCCATGATAGAATTCTAATTTTTCATACCTTAGAGTCATGCTTCTTTCTTGGTTTTTTCGATAAGGCTTTTATCTCTGGTGGAAAAACAGTTGAGGTTCCGTTAATCCTTGAGGACCCAACGATGTTTCGAATATATCATTTGCTTTTGTTGCATAGCCATTTGTGTTAAAAATTTCAGAATTTTCAGTCTTAAGCGATTTAGGATAGAAGCACTTTGGAAGATTTTGTACAATAGAGCTATAAGTTGAAGCGGTAAGCCAGAGTCTTCTGTAAGACTGTCGTCAAGTTTAAGTTCTTAAGCATCTTAAGTTCCCTTTGTGGAAAAATTGCCATGAGCAAAAAAAATTGTTATCATCTTTACAAAGCTTACAATAGCATTCCGCATCCCTGATTGTTATTCTGACAAAGGCGCTCGTATTGAATTTAATCTGTTTCTCATTTATCGGAACCATCAAACCAATCGTTGTGTTCTCTGGAGCTCCTGAAGACACAAACGTCTTTAAATAAACCTCAAAACATGCGATTTCTTTTGTCTGAAGTGGATATTAATTAGAAACAGTAGTAAGTCACGTCTTGCTAAACTGATACCATGTTACGACTAAGAGGCATAAAAGGGTATAGCTTTCAGGGTTGATCAATCCCTGAAGGATGTGCCATCCATTGGACTTCACTAAGCATCGTTGAAGGTGACTGAGTGCATATCTGGCCTTTATAATGAGTTGCGGTGGTCTAACGATGCATCGAGCCAGTGTTGCTGTCATACCAGGCAAATCTAGTACCAATTTATCGACCCCGGAGGGATGGAAGGTTTGGTGAGCTTGGAGAGCGTGGATCGATTCCACGCGTATTGCAGGGCGCCTCCGACCGCTGAGCCACTCGCGCCCATATATTACAATTGCAGCGATTTTTCTAAAATCCACTCCATCCTTATTCCAATCTTATTCCATTCATGCTTCCAAAATGAATATTTGTAGTTGGAAAGGGAGTACATAATCTTGGTGAGATAGGGGGACGATGACGACAATGTCATTGTAGAATGTTTACATTCTGACAGTAAAGTGTTCGCTCATGAATGTTCTTTGCCTATTGAATGAACACGCTCTTGGTGCCTAATGCTTCCATGACTGCTTCTAACTTGGCTGATCTAAGCTTTCATTTCGTCGAAGGAGCTGAGAGAAAGCGGTCTTTTGTACTCTGGCGATATCAGTGGGTTTTGTTATCGTGCAGTTACAGTGAATTATTTTCAAGACCCTTAATTGCGTTGTTTTGTATGTAATGCTGACATATTTGCAAAATTCCGGACCGCAGGTGTACGCGGTGGGGAACGAACACGCGCTGTTGTCCTTACGGGGGAGTAGCGCACTTCACCACCACACCATCCGGGTCTCTTTTTCGTTTTGTCTCTCTCAGCTAGTTCTATCTATCGAAAGACTAGGATGGTGTGGTCGTGAAGTGCGCTGCTCCCCGGTAAGGACAACAGCGCGTGTTCGTTCTCCACCGCGTACACCTGCAGTCCGGAGTTTTGCAAATATCTCAGCATTACATACGAATTATATTTCGCAACATACCCGGCCATTAAAAAGAAAAAAAGGAAGTAAATAAAAGGGTTAAGATTGCGTTGCTTTGATTGAAAAAAGACATATATGGCTACAGTGGACCTTAAAAGGTTGGCAACAAATTTGATTCTGCGAAAGATCCTGGTAGATTAGAAAATCTGTTGAACGAAAAGTGCAACCATTATAAAGATACATACGCACCGCGATGTACAAAAGCTCCTAACACTGCCTCTGCTTTCGGAAAAGCTGATCGCGACCAGTCTGGCACTGATTTCCAGGCCAGGAAAGACAGAAAACCTGTCTGGGTCACTGCTAGGCATTGCAATCAGCGCAATGCGCAGATTATTTGTTGGTATCTCCACCATTGGTTATCTGCCCTTCATAGAGTGAACATTCATGAATTAGAATGGTGTGTGAAAGAAACCACTTGAAATTGCTCTATTATTCGTTCGCCTAATCACAGCACTTTTTACACCGCACCAATCATATGTGGTAATATTCTTTTTGTTATCTACTTCATACTTCAAAGAAGGAACAAAATCTAGCCGCATCGGTTGAAATATGGTTTGTGATAATAAACGAGAAAACGTTCGGTCCGGCATTGCTCAGTTCTCGAGGGATACGCTGTGCATCCATCCTCATCAAGCTTCTTAAGAAGTGAACGAAGCCTTACCTATAGAGTAACTAGCAATAGCTTACCACTGTATGAAGTCAGTGCTGTTATACTCTCAGACAGGTATGGTACCAATTTGGCGACACTGGAGGGATGGAAGCCCTGGCGAGCACGCGACACAAGATCGAACCAAAGAACACGTATGTATTGCCGAGCATCTCTAACCAATGCACTAAAAGTGCCAGGCTAGTGATACTCATCACATTATCGAATTCATAGACAGGACCCAAGAATATTGACTAGTACGATAAGTTTCACCACTTTAGAGCATGTCCGTCAGAATATGAAGGCATAGTTGTATACATTAAAAAGTGCTACACTTACTTAATTTGAACTCTGTATTGATGGTATTAGTGCTCCCGTTACTGCTCCCTTTTGGTGTCTTTTGAGCAAAGGAGAACGATGACATTATAAGAATGACAGTAGCAACCACATCAACGGCTCGCGTCATATTCGTCATAAATAACTGTGCTGAACCTTCTTTCAAGGAAACTATCACCACAGTAAACAATTGGTAGATATGGTTAGAAATAAACTGAGTTGATAGCGCTAGATATCTATGATC